TTCCGTGACACGGTAGATACCACTGTGCCACGGTGCAGCCCACCGTCAGACGGTGAACTACACCGTGACATGGAAAATTCTGTCGTGGCACGGCAGTCAGAAGATCTGACTGTTGCCCTGTTTACCTTCGTACGCAATCAAATTATTCAATTTTTACTACGGGACAGACCTAAATGCGACGTTAAAACATCTATGCTTATGCAAAAACGCCAAATTAATCACAGGAATATTTTTCAAGAATCTTTCAAGTCTCATCCACTCATCTTAATTAAATATCGATCACTCAAATCGATAAATAACCAAGAATCCTCCCCAGTGGAGTCGCCAAATTGTAGGCGTCGCTCGAAGTGCGCCTACGTTAAAGCATGTATGAATATGCTTGGCACTCATAGGAAGTGGGAATTGACATAATACGATTAGGAACAAATAAAGTAGGGAGCCGCCAACAAGTTTTTTAAGGAACTTGTAAACCGTTCACGGATCATAAAAAGGCAACCACGATAAGGGACAACGATAGGCAACAACGATTGACCGGTGAAGGTTACACCCCATTCATAATCCACGAGATTACTAACTCCATATGGTTCTGAACCATGAAAGGAGGATCGGGAATGATGGTACGAAGTGAGTCATGGAGTCACATTCGCCCGTATTAGCCTCTACTCGATTCTTATAGCGAAAAAATGATTCCTGCGATCTCAAAGACATACAAACAGAGATTCAATTTGCTCCAAACTATTATTAAGCTAAATTGGTTTAATATTAATGCAACATATAATTCTAATATATTGTGATCACTTGATTCAATAACAAGATTAAAAGGAACCTAAACCGCTTGTCCAAATTATCTTATTAGGCGTGATTTTCAATTACATATATTCCCTTTAAACATGAAATATGGTGATCAATAAATATAATAGAATAAACATTAATATTGGAAGCAATTTAACAATTATTCCAACAATATAAAATCGTTAGAAAATTAATAGAAATAAAAGGAACATAATTTTTACTTTGATTCTGTTTGCTTGCAACTATAAAATAATAAACGAGTTAGTAACTTCAAGGAAATAATAATAATAATAAAACAATAATTAAATTAAATTAAATTAAATAGAGTTGATTTGGGGCCAAACCCTCAAACAGTTCTACCTTTCACGCCTTGGCTTAAGGACAGAACCACGGGTAAAGTATGGACTCCTTGGAGTGCTTGAAGAAGGAATTTTGAAAGAAGAAGGGTAGGCTTGTGTTTAGGCTAGAGCATAGAAGAGAGAAAAATAGAGAATTAATTGATGCCCCGTACATCAGAAATGGAGGGTATTTATAGAAAAAATGTGCTGAGAGAACACACGGAACCCTAAAAAGATAAAAACCCTAAAAAGGTATACCGCGACACGGCAAAGTGTACCGTGACATGGGAAATCCCACCGTCAGACGGGAAACATTCCCGTGACACGGTGTACTGCTGTGTGACGCGGGAAATATTTAGTGAACGAGGGAGAAAACGCGTTAAGGGTTTACGCGGAAAGGACACGGAAACCCCCATGTCACAGCAGGTGCCCTGTGTCATGGAGAATCCCACCGTCATACGGGACAGTTTCCCGTGACACGATGGATAGATGTCGTGACGCGGGAGTCCTGGTCCGTTTTTCCGTCTAAATTTTTTTAACCCTAATTTCGCTCAGCATTTGAAGTGCCGATTGATAATTTCGGGCCATTTCTGATTTATTATTATTTTCTCTAAAAAAATAATAAGTAAATAAAATACATAAAAGGTTTGGGCCAAAATAAATAATAAAACAATAAAATAGAAAGGGTTTGGGCTGAAATTAAAAACTATGCTTTGACTAAACATCAAGACTGATCCATGGGCTATTTAAAAATTAAATTTAATTAAATACGATTTTTTAAGCACTCTCGGGATTAAATACTGAACCCGACCAATAGTGGCGGTGAAATATTGTTCATCATCGGGTTTGGTTTTGGAGAGACATTTTTAGGTGTCTACAGTATTGTTCAGGGTACTCACAGGTTTAAGGAGAGAACTATTAAGGTGTTACATGCATAAAAGATCCTTTAATGGATTGATGTTCTTAATTTTGTGAGTTAATAAAAATTATTTGATGTTCTCATAAAATGAAGATCTTGTGTATACAAGATGTTTAGTGGGAGCTATACAATCTTCTTGGTCTAGTAGAGAGAGCAATTATTCATTGCTTGAAGGGTCTAGTAATGGCTAATGCATTTTGTATGAAAAACCTAGAAGAAGAAGATGAGTACAGTTGGGATTCAAGATCTATAGAGATAGGTTTTGAATTAAGTTTGAGCTTAGTTAAGAAGCTTATATTGATAAGATTCTTATAAGGTTCAACATTATATTGAAAGGAGTTTCAATCCCATATAACATGGCACATTGCTTAACAAGATTCAATGCTTTGAGAAAGGTTGATGAAATTAAGGTTTTGAGTGATGATCCTTAAATTATGCAATATGCAAAGGATGCATCATGCATGTCATGGACTATATTTGATTCACGTGTTTCAAGAACAAGTGATGATAGATATCAATCGAAATCCAATGTAACATTGGAATACAAATTAGAAATTTTTAAGTTCCTTGCGAAAGGGCGAAGGAAAATTCTTAGTGTATGGAGATGAAGATTATTGTAAAATTTAGATGTTGCAAAATTCATGTTTATGGGAATGTCGCATGAACTCTACTTGCTAAACCCCTTCTATGACCAAGGTATGAGAGTCATACTAAGGTTCTTGGATTGTAGCAAGTTATGTAATTTAAGTTGTATATGTTTTGAGAAAACATATCATATAAGTAATACATTAACTTACAGAATTATGTTTATCAATTGAAACAAAGTTTTATTCTTATTTAATTATGGTTTTTGAAATTAAATAAAATTTCCAAATTAATTATGGATTGATGGGCTCATCAGGTTGATGACCTGGTGAATGAAACCCCACAGGTGAACTAAATTTATATATTATTAGAGTTCCTAGTTCGAAATCATTAAAGTGGACATAAATGATTTCAATAAATGGATTAGCATGTAAGATTGATTGGATAGCGCAGTTTCATGGGCTATAGGAGTGTAGTGAAGCTCGGTCAATCACATGGATGTGCATGAATGATGCATGATCGAACTATAGACCTACTTTGAAGTTCAAGTATAGAGCTTCCAGATATATTATTGGATTCCTTTGACATGAGTGGAATACTGATTCCATCCAATAAATGATTTGACTGTGGTACATTCAAATGTCTTCTCGTAACTGGAGATTATAAAGGATGTTTCCCAGTCATTTTAGAAGTTGAGTGGAAGCTTTGGTTGCCACAAAATTGGATTGAGTATACCTATTTAAATAGGAATGTGTCTCGGCCCCTTGAAGAGGGAGAATTCAGAAAATGCATGGTTGTGCTCAAATGGGGGTAGTAATCATTTGTTTTGTAATTCTAACTCAGATTTCAAGAAAAGATTTGTAGATTAATATGATCACGACATGAGATGCAACCATATTATCAAATCGACACACATTGCTTAAGGAATTTGAATATTGCGTACTTGTCTTAGACAAGTGGGATATTGAAGGAATTATGTCTTCGATAAGTGCAATTACTAGATATATTAAGGATCTCTATTGTGGAGATAATAAGTTCATTCTTTTGGGTCGTCATTGTGTAATGCTAGATTATGGTAAATGATCTTTGGGCTAGTCAAATATTCCAAAGCCCACTAGAATGGATCCTATGAGTTCACACAACAAGGGTATTGGGTTAAACAAGTTAGGGGCCCATTATTGGGCCTTATGAGGATATGACATACCATGAATGGAGTTGGGCTAGAGTAGTTAGATTAGAGTTAGGTATTTGGACTTAACATGGACTCTTATTTAGAGATATGATCTATAAATAAGATCCATGCCTAAGGTTGCTTTAAGTCACAATTAACATACAGTAGATTGTGAAACAAGGCAACCAATCCTAAAAACCCTAAGCTCTCTCTCTCTCACTCTTACGCACACCCTCCTCTCTCACCCCTTCGTAATGCCTGCCACCCTATGTGGTGCGTGGTGCTTGTGGTGGTGGTTCTTGGTTGGTTCATTCCTCTCCTCTCTGTAGAAGGTTGATTGTAAGGTTCAATCACGGCTAACTAACATTAGTGGAGGTTTAATCTGTGCCCGTGGACCAAGTAGAGGAATCACGCTTGATGTTCTTTATCTCCCATTGTTCTTGCTCGATTGTAGGTGGAATCACGCTTCAAAGGTATAATTACTTGTTCTTTATGTGTTATGCATGATCTTGGTTATTAGAACCTTATGAATATGATTTATATAATTCCTCTTAGAGTGTGTAAAGTCCTACAGATTCGGTCATTTGTGCATAGGCAAAGGACACGTGTTAGCTCTTGATGGTCCGTGTGGCAGCATATCACTTATCCGCATGGTAGGTGTATCTATACTATATATTAAAAGGCGTTCCTTTTAAAGGAACGGTGCCACGTGGCACTCTTCAAAGTATGTGTGCCTCTATCACAACGTCACGTCATCATCCAAAGTATATTCGCCACGTAAGCTAGCCACTTCATTTAACAAAACAAAATATGCTTTCACCAATTATTATTAATGTTTTAAGTTTCACATAATATTATAATATTCCTTTCATTTATAAAGTAAATATAATACATTTATTTTTAACAAGATTAACATATAAATACATATGATGTAAAAACAAAGTGGCATTCAAGGCAATGCCCGAACCACTACACACACTAACTACATAAACGATAGTTGAACATAATTGTTAAATTAAAGCAAGAAGTACACAAATTAGCAACCCGGGACATCGCCTGAGTACACACTAGTTTTTACATTAAACACATGCCTTTTCACTCCTTGTTAACAACCACTTGAATGAGAGTGTATCCATTTGTCAAACAGTGGGCATTTAACAACATAGTCTTACTTCGTCTCATAACACTTTTCAACTTTCTACAACCCTTTTACTTTCATTTCAACATTATCAATGTCAATGTCCTGCATTAAAAAGCGTTAAAGATGTTACAGTAATCGGGTAGAAAGTTTGGTGCACGAATGTTGATTCCGAGTATGACTGGGCTTGTTGAGCAACTTTTATACGGTGGGATGGTGGTCTGTTAAGAGTTTTTTTTTTTAAAAAAAAAAAATAAAATAAAATAAAAGTGACACTAATAACAATCTAGCTTTGATTATACAGACAGCAGCCATGTCCGGTGGAACGCACCTTGTACAAGGACATGGCATGTACAGACGAATATGAGAAGCGAGGCAAATTTTGTACAAGAAATGATTCCTAATTACCTCCCCCTTCTTTGATATAAATCTCTTTGAATATGCACAAGCACAACTTATGAGGAGGTTGTTGGAGCTCTCACAAGCTTCATCATGAAGTTGAATTGGATATCCGGAGAGGTCTTGGGTTGGGGCCAATTTGCTCCCTCGGGAACTTTTATACATTTAAAACCCTGACTTTTGTACAAGTTTGTCGCCCCTGGGTTGTTCAAATCACAATGAAGTGCAACAGCATGGCAGCCCCAGCTCCAGGCTTGAGCCTCAGCCTTGGCGACGAGCCTTTTAGCTATCCCCAAGCGTCGAAATTTCTCTCGTACTGCCACATTTGAAATGTATGCTATGCCGGTCCTGTCATAGCACTAAATTATAAGACAGCTTCCCAAATTCTGGGAGTAAATTCAAACTAATGACAGCTGAAATTTCTTCAGTAACTTCATAACTCAAACAAAAAAAAAAAAGCCATTATATGCGAAATTGAACAATCTGATGTATCTGCTTAAATTTATACTAACATTTAGACCCAAATTCATCTAACATCGTTGTTATCATTGACCACTAAGAGTAAGAAGAAAAAAAAAAACAGCACTATTGTTGATAGGGTTCTCCGCTGGTTCACGAAATGCTTTTAACTCTAATTAGTGTACATGTGTAAGTTATCAAGTGCATACAGGAATGAATGAGAATAATATCAACAAAAGAAGACAATTTTTTTGACCAACCCCTATTTTCTTCTCTCTCTCTCTCTCTCTCTTTTTTAAGGTAAGATAAAGAACCTGAAGGCCCAGAACCCCTCACGAGTTAAACCCGTCCTGGGTTTGCAGGCTAAACAATTTGGGAGTAGGGGGAAAGTAAAGGAATCCTATCCCCCAAATTTCACTAGTGGGCATTGAATATCCAACCTCATGGTTGAAAGGTGATCTTCTTTCCACTATACTAAGCTTAGCTTGGTAATCTATTCTCTAAATGCTCACGTTCAAAACATCAAATATGAAAAATATATAAAATTCTGACAGTTGAATACTTTCATAGCCAAGTAAGAGGATGACAATGAGCTCTTACGACACGTTTAATAACTGATCCTAAACTGTGGGAATGGTAATGAATTATTTTGTAATTGTAATACAAAATTTCATGTTCATTACCATGTGAATGAAACTCTACCTCTAAACGTGTTTTTTTTGTTCCCCACAAATTTCCATTAGCAAGCAATATCACTATCAGTAACCTTTAAAATGGTACTCCATATCCAATAATGAAACTTTTTGAAGAAAATTAGGAATCCGGGCCTCGAGGGACTACCATTACTTGTATTGACATGGAATGTTCTTCATAAGTTTAACGGGATGTTGGTTGTTTATTACACTCACGAAAGATACAGTACCTAGACAATTTTATCAGTGCCTTATATAGGAAGTTGGAAGATGCCTCTCATCCAGCTTCCTCCTTGATGCCTACACATCTGCCAAAGGGGACTATTCTTTAAACTCTTTGTCCTGCTTGCTATTTTACATCTTCCGAAATTCAAACCCCTAAGACCTAATTTCAGAAGCCTGGGAGTCACCCCTTTAACTATAGTACTATACCCAATTACCCATAATCATAGACATGTCAACATGTGACAAACAGTCTATCAAAAAGGAGCACCATTCCAAGGAAAGGCATGCTTCAGATATACAAATTTCAGGACATGCTATATTCCATATCTAGAAAAATCATTGAAACTTTTGTTATCCAATTGTAAAATTTCAGATTTCATGCATATTCCATAGATATAAATCAGTTTAACCTTTGCACCTATTAGATAGCATTGACAGTACCTGCAATGTTTTCTATACACAATAATGTCCTAGTACTCACCATCTTAACCTGCACTAGTATTTCAATTGATTACAATGATGTCAAAAGTTAATAGAGAAATTAACACACTCCTCACTCTTTCCAATATGTTTGATTAGCATGAGTAGTAGAACATGTCTCCACTTCTAATAGAAAGGACATAGAATGTCTTGCAGAAATTTCATGAGTTGTTTTGGTTAAAAATGAATTAAACCTAGGGCTCTTTCCAAGTCAAAAATGATGTTCTCCCCATTCATATTTTTAACAAATAAGAATCACAATCATCAAAGGATGGATTGTTGAAACTACCAATAAATGAATAAAAAACCTCAAGGTCCCCCGCACATAGATTATATTTCTTTGTTTGTTTCCATGCATTATGGTATTACCCAAGCAAAAACCCAAATTAAATTTTTTATTCTCAACAACTTGCATGATAATTAATATGTTACCTGCAGGATTTTAGAACAAGAAGTGACATATTTAGTAAAAGTAAACTACTCATCAAAATTCTCTCTATTTTTTATCAATCTAGTTCAGAAACTCTACCAATTCAAAAGCCTCTATAGCACAATCAACAAATGGTGGAAACTAGGATGTTCCTTAACCATCCTTAAATGAACACTTAAGGTCAAATTGGAAAAGCCTTGAAAAAGCACTAGTGATATATGATTTATAAACTTTTAGCTCTACAAGAACATTGTACTGATATAATTCAATGGCCATGTTATATATCACTTCAAAAAAAATTGATTAATAACATGATACACAAAAAAATTATAAAATAACCTCATTACAACCTTACAATTTCTCTCTCAACTCCCCCACCAACTCCCCTGACCAGCCCCCTTCCACTACCCCAACCAAACTCCCCCTCCCCTCAACTATTTTTAAGAAGGAAGGTGGTGGTTGTCTACGGATGGTTGGGTGAGAAGAAGGGCAGATAAGATGGTGGTGGCCTAGGTTGTTGATGGCTTGGTTGTGCCTGGGCGAGTGGTGGCCAGGGTGTTGCGGTGGCCGGGAAGGGGGCTCACAAGGAGAGGGGTCGGGTCAATGAGAGGGATGTTTGTTTTTTTTTTTTTTTAAAAAAAAAATTACAGACAAATTATTAATAAAAAAAAATGTAAAAATTATAAATAAAAATCCTACCAATCACAATGTGCCACTTGTCACAATTAACCTATTAAGCAAGCTACCAACCGGTCATGCACTATTTAAAGCGGATATCCCCAAAGTTCGTATAATTTTGGGAAATTAAGAGGTCGTTTAATTTTTGGAAGACTATCCAAAATTTATAATATTTTTGACAATTTTTCCTTTAAGATATTAATATTTCAAAATGTCCATTTGCAAGTATGATATCCCTAATGTTGTGATTAAAAAAGAACGGAGAAAGTATATAATATGACTTTCAAGAACAAAAAACTGAAAGATACAGAGATACTTAATGGGCGCAAACTCCCGGAAACTTCAACATATCTTGCCCTTATATTTAAAAACAAAGTAGAGACTTAAAAATAATTCATGATTTCAGAAAACAAGCACTCTTAAACTATATGGACCATGAGTTCTCTAGCAATAATTATTTTTGGATCAAACCAATACCATTTTATAGTAGACTTCTAAGCATTCCATTATATATTTATTGCCTAAATTTTATATGAAATTAAAAATCATAGCCAACCATGTTAGTATTGTAAAATATTCTTCACCAAGCCAATTGCCTCATCAAGAGCATACTAGATTACTAGGTAATGTAAAGATTCCGAATTCAAAATGTCAAACCAAAATGACAGTTGAAACAACTATAAGATGGTGTGGGAATCAAGCAATTCAAAGCCTAATCTGATTCCGTTTTTCCAAAGAGTGTTCTACTACATATTAGTCGCCCTAAGTCTCAGCACTAGTGAAATTTATATTGTTCTTGTTCTAAATAAGGACCCCACTTATGGGATTAAGGCATTGATTGATTGATTGTTCTAAATAAGGCGAAATGATTACCCATTATCAAATACATCATGCACGCATATGAACACCTTAATGCAAAGCAACAATGCAAGATGTTATACATAGCCTTGGCTCTTGTTAAACATATACTTACTTGAGTGCTTTTATGAAATCAGGATGTAGATTATTCGCCTAAGCTATTTATATTGAAATACATACGCACTTGACTCATGACGGCCTAATTGTTAGTCCTTGAAATTCATATATTAAGCCCATTCATGAGCACACATCCAACAATTCTCTCTTTTCTATCCTTAATTCAAATATTAAGCCCATTAATTAGCACACATCCAATAATTCTCTCTTTTCTTTTGCGTTTTATACAAAAGTGGTTTATAAAAAACATAGTAATTGGAAGAATATTGAAGTATTGGGTATTTGTGTTTGGTGCACGAAACAATCACTCAACAAAATTAAGATTTAAGTATGCTATTTTCCAATTTCTGTTTTGTTGGAAAGAAATTAGATGCTACTAATGAAATGCACATATCCAAACACAAAAGCCAAAGGTTAAAAAGAACGCACCTTCGTTGCCTCAAAGATCCTTTTCTAGGTAAGAAATCAGCAACAGTGTCCACAGTTAAGATTCCCGCAACATGACCTTTATTCAGAGAGAATTTCGCATCAAATCCACCAAATTTGAGATCATCACTTTCAATGTAGAAGGTGTTTGTAGAGCTACCAACAACTGCGACCAAGCAAGTCCTTTTGCAACCATGAGGAACAGGAAATCCAAATATCATTGCAATGAGTCTATCAATCCTCATTACAAAGTCCAAAGGGAAGGAATATTCAGGGAAGAAGGAGCTACAATGTGTTTCAACCACTTCCCAACTGTCATCCAATCTAGCTTCTCGAACAACTACCTCAGGTGTGACAGATGGAAACAAGTCTGCAACTTGACTAGCCTGGCAAGCTCCTAGAATAGAGACCACAACCACCAATGTAAACATGCAATTAAGTTACAAGTTATCATCTCCAAGCAGGCAATTTTAGAAACGATAAAACAGGGAGATTACTATATGCATCAACTACCTACAATAAATCTACTAACATATTTTCAACAATATACACAATTGTGACAACACTGACAAATCATAATTATAATAAGTTAACTTTTTTCATACCCCTCAATAATAATTGAATAGGGCAAGATATTAGACCCATTCTCATTTCTGATGCTACGTAAGTTAGTCTTTCCACCCAAAACAATATTGACTCTACAATCTACAAGGATCGTTTCTGATGCTATGTAACTGTGTAAATTAGCCTTTCCACCCAAAATAATATCGACTCACAATCTACAAGTGTCTACGGCGCATTTCACATGATGTAGTCTTGGCCAGTTAGCCATATTATTATTTTCTTGTATACATTAGTAGAAAATTATGGTCAAACTAAGGCAAATGAATGGTGCCAAATGTTAAAATGTTAACTTTTTTAAACAGAGTTAGTATTAGTAAAGACTACATAAATTTTCAGAATTGGTCTTCTAGGAATGTGGGATTAATCTAAAAGGCATTAACACACACATATAGAAAGCACCTTAGGCACCCCCTCCAACTTTACTGCATTGAGCTAGTATGGAATTATTGCTTGTTTTGCAATAACTAACACAAATGCAAAAGCTAAGTTGTTCAATAGATAGGCAAAATAGTTTCATTTCTAGCCAAATACCTTCAACCAAAAAGGGCCTAACGAATACTAAATTACTTGAGCTACAATTTCACTAACCCAAAATTCTATGAAATCCATTGATACCCATTATTGCTAATCACATGTCTATAATAAAAACACAAGTCAATGATCAATGAAAGTTAAGAATGGGAAAATTGAACACAAAATCAGCATGATTGAAAAACTATTAAAAATAAAATACTACCTCGGTTTTAAATTATTTGCAACAATTAGACATTTTCTACTCACACTTAATATCACATCGTTGTAAATAATTTGAAACGGATGTAGTATATAGTATATACATATTTACCTGGGAAATTAGCAGGCGGAGAAGACGAAGAAAGAAAGAAATGATGAGAGAAGTGGGGTGAAATGGAGGAAGAAGGAAGACGAAGTTTGGTGGAGTTGAAGGTGGAAGAGATGGAAGATTTACAGGAAGCAGCGTTGGAAGTCGGCGCTACTGTGATGCCGACGCCGCCTAGTGGTATGGACCGCATCTCCGCCTAAATCGGAGAGTTTTGCGATACAAAGCGGAGGTGAGGCTGCAAAGAGTAGCGCCTATACTGGCCAAGTGGCCAATAATTAGCCAATTTGTATGGGCAAAGATTAGTCCGTCACTCCGTCCCTCTTCTTGGGGATAATTAGGGGTGGTAATTAGTAATTTGACCATATGCCATAAGTTCTATTCAATCTGATTTGATTTGATCCGAGCAAAAAGGTTCGATTCTAAAATGACATTTAAAAAAGTTCTACTGCGTAACATACTTTCCCTAAATAATGTTGGGAAATTATCTAATTCCCAAATTACAGCTACTCTTTTTTTAATTCCCACCATACCGTCCACGTCACCGGTTTAGTGGGAATTTTTTAAAAAAAACGGGTTTATTAGAAAACCGCGGTGTGCTACTGAAAACCGCTACTTCAAGTAGTGGTTTACATATTAGAAACCGCTACTTAAAGTAGCGGTTTGTATTTACTAATTACTGATTTATAGATATTTTGTTTTTGAAGAAAAACTTACAAAACAAACCCATAAACCGCTACTTCAAGTAGCGGTTTTAATTTCATAAACCGCTACTTTAAGTAGCGGTTTTCGTTGGACCGAGAAAAAATAATTCGGTTTGTTTTCCTTAGCTGACGTGGACAGTATAATTGGAATTAAAAAAAAAAGAGTAGTTATAATTTGGGAATTAGATAATTTCCCAACATTATTTAGGGAAAGGGGTCAAAAAAAAATATCAATGAAAAAAATTGATTTTGATATATTCGAGTTGTAAAGTACAAAATTCATGTATGTCCTACGGCTTGCAACCTGAATTAATTTGTATATACTAATATTTGAGCTCGAGCAATGCCACCATTTGTTTCATAGGTTAACCATTAATATACTTTTAATTTGTAACTCAATTCTCTTGCTATTAAATTTGTTACTCATATTGTCATTCACTACACAATAATATAATATTACAAAAGAAAAATATAAAAGGATGACACATTTTAATTTTTTTTGGAAAATTTTATGCTAATAATCCAACATTTGCCTAATTTATTTTTCATAATTCAGTTTTTGAATATTATTAATCAATAAAACAACCTTTTATAGTATTTCAAAAAAAAAAAAAAAAAAAAAAAAAAAAACCTTTTATACCCATTCTATCTTTAAGGTCAAACCAGTCCAAACCCACAACTAAAAATCTTATATACTACCTCCGTTACAGGTTATGTGCAACAATCAAACATTTTTCCTCTCTCCTTTATGTCAAATCGTTACACATAACCTGTAACGGATAACAAGCATTACATCATAACTTAAAATAGATATATTAATTAACTTAAAATCTGTCATCAATTTTAAAATAAGTAAGAATTGCCATCAATTGTTTTTCTTCGATAGTTTATATTGATCACATTGCAAATTTCTTAAGACAACCACTTGGTAGTTAGTACTCCGTAATTCAAATTAAGCAGCAGAACGCTGTTCACACTGCTATCTAGTATCATCGGAGTCACTCAGCACTTTAGCAGTGATCAGGATTCATGCTTCTACCTAGTAGCACCTCCACTATCTCTAATTGAGCATTTTGTTTCTAATCGTAGTCTTGCCCTTTAAAGGATAAGAAAATTTGGAATACTCGAGTAGAATAAGTAGGAACAATAGTCCATTCTATTTACCATGAATAGCTTATACATATTCAAGGCACATGGTAAAATGACATTTAGCTAGAAGCAGGGATTAACATAATGGGCAGCAGCGGCCTTTACTTTGAAGGAATTCTGTACATAATGTACAAGCACCTAGAACCTGAAACTCCTGACAAATACAATGTACAGAAGCAGAACTACCTTGGCTAATTCATGTGCAGTACTAAACTTGATTATCATTGTTGCAGAAACTGTGAGCCAGCCTTCTGGAAATTAGCATCAAGCAGAGCATTTACGCAGAAAATCCTGATTCCATAGCTCGAAAGATTGATGACGTATCAAAATTAAAATTTCTAAGGGTCTTGCCTGGGCCTTTTTCAGTAACATGAGTATCAGGTGCAGTCTTAGGATGCTGGATTTCAACCATGGCTGAGCTGCTTCCCCCAGAGTTATTTTTAGCCTTCCAAACACTAAGTCCTGTGATGTATCAACAAAGTCATACAGATAAAAAGCATGAGGCAAACAGGAACATCAACAAGCACACTTCACATATGATTGATCACCTACTACCTATAATCCAAACTGAGCTTTAAAAAGCAATCAGAAAGCAAGAGAAAAAAGCAAGACACTAAACAATTACAGGTGCCCCAAGAATCCAAACAAAAACACGTTTTACAGTTATATTTCATAAATTCAGCTGGACAGTGCCATGAGGCTTTAATAAATGTCAGCAGAAACCCCTCCTATTTTTCCAGCAATATAATGAGAAAGAATAGTGTATACTTTACCAAAGTCTTGAAATTGGAAAAAGGGGTGATTCCTCATATATGTATAATGGTAAAGAGTCAGTTTAGGCCAGATATGATGATAAGAGGTGATTCTTGGTGAATAAACCAACGTAAAGAAAGGATCAAGATGCACCAAGGGGATAGGGTAAATACAGTATGCCCTGTTGAAGTCAGGCGAACTTAATAAAAAGCGGATTAAAAATACTGAAAAAATAAAAGCTGTGCGCCTCAAGCTACATCTTTGGTGCATCTCACCAAAACCGTTTTATACATATAGGCTGATATATACAGAGAAAACAATTACCAGATCCCCAGTGAAGGCAAAATTGTGGGAGCAGCTTGTCCTGAATGTAATGGAAATAAATCACAGCCAACGCGGCATTTTTTTTTTTTTTTTACATTAACATTGCACTTTTTCAGTTTAAGAAGCATACTTTGAACATAATATGACCAGAGCTACCATAGCATGACTAGGTTGTAATTAGTATTGAATACTCCCTCTGTCCCTTAATTAGATTCCTACTTCTCTCTATTATGTGAGGAATAAATGCTAGAAATAGGAATCTAATAAAGGAACGGAGGGAGTAACTATTAGTAAAATACTTCAATATGTTAATAATTACACAATTAATAAGTAAATATTAATTTTCTTTTCAATAATTATTATCATTTAGCAGCAACCCAACCAACTAATGCAAACAAGAACATAAAACTGAAAGCCCAGTCCCTTTGATAAATAAAAACAGATTGACAATACAATTATACTTTTGCCACTATGTCACTTCAGGTGCTTTTTTTTAACAAAATATAAATTTTCCTTCATTAATTTATTCAATCATGTGAAATCCACTTGCGCATTCGCTTGACATACACTTCCTCTGTTTCTTTTAAGTTGCAAAGTGAAGTGGCACAATATGTTCAAGATAGTGAAAGAAAGGTAACAATAACTCGCAAGTAACATGACATTACCAACTAAAGAAATGAAATAATCCTAGTAAGAATTACATAAAAGCCACCCCAAGTAAATTCCTATTCCCTCCGTCCCCAAAACTTCGAACGTTTTGGGTTGATTTAGCAGTTATTAAGAAATTTAAATAAAAAGAAATAAAAACATATTGGAAAGTTAAATTTACATGGGGTTTGTAAAAAAAGTAGAGAGAGAAAATATTAAATATACATTAAAAATAAAAATAAAAACAAAAAAAAAACAAAAAAAAAAACAAAACAAAACAAAATTTTATAAGGGGAAGCTAATTTACACAAATATTGTTGTAAATTGGTGGGTATTTTAATGCAAATGGGTCGATTATTTTGGGACTAAAATTAGGCCAAAAGAGTCGAAGTTTGGGGACAAAGGGAGTATTAAATTATGAAACGAGCAAAATGTCCTTTAAAACTTTATCATGTTTCCGACTGATGTCCAATTTAAAGAGTCCCCATCTCCAGACTAGATGCGACAAAGTGTCAAGACACTTGAAGTCATATTTATACCAACACTGGTAACCAATGTTAAATCAATATACTGACCATTTTGGGGTGCAGCAGACCTTTCTTTCTCTGCAAACTACGGAGTACAACTTTTCAGCACACTGGACATGCTCTAGCTGAGCGTGCACTGCATAAGATTTTTTCAATCGTTCATAGAAAATGCAGGTGGCAGATAGGTCATTTGAATAGGATTTGGGTCGTGTCATTTTGGGTCACCTAATCACATTCTTTTTTTCCACCATCGTTTATGTATGCATATAATTTGCAATAAGGCTTGAATCATTTGAAGTAGATTACATTTGTTGCAAATCGCATACAAAATGGTTCATACAGGAATATATCATGTTTCACGAAAAAAGTATACATGGAATTCGAATACAATATCATAATCAATTAAATCAATCAAGGAAAAATGAATGTCAAGTCAAAATAGCAAAAACTTGAAGTTTGGGTGATTTCAACTTTTTCAACTTTAACCATAAGGTTATTACTTATTAGGTTAGTGTTCAATTCCAAGTCATAAGTCTTCAGGTCAAACGACAAGGATATGTTTGATAGATATTGAAAAGCCAAGGATAATATGAATAAATATATAGAATAAATAAAGATAAACCTCTGCGAGAAGCATCAGATTTTGAAACAGTTGCAGGCGCGTGCTTTGCAATCCATGTCTTTAATGATCTGAAAAGTACAAAAACTCACTGGGACATAAGACATACATGACAAAGACCTGAACAAACAAAAGGTCTGTTAAATAAACTCACTTTAAAAATGGAGTAACCATGTAAAGCTTAAGGCCTGTGACACTACGTGATATAACTTCATCACTAGCAGGTTGGAGATCATCTAGTCTATGCCATGCAATTTCCTGAGCACAGAAAACATTAATGTTAGTGTATGAATATTCTCCGCAAACATTAGACTTCCTAAAACTAAAGAAAGAGTAGTTCTTGTGGAAGACTGGTCTGTGATATGATAAGAATGACTATTAGACAAAGTAACTTTAATACATAGTATATAAAATTACACACACGAGGGGCTTAAAATGGAATATGGGGAGGCTTATTCCATCTCAGAGTATGAAAAGGTCACATGCATGGATTAAACAAAGAGAAACCAAAGATAAAACTAAACAAAAATGGAGAGAAAGGTATTTAAAGAAAAAGGGGGAACCGGGGAAAAGAGAGAAAGAAAAAATTAAGGAACTCGTGCTGGATATCAAAATTTGTTTATACTCTCGGTTTGATATTATTTTATAGCAATATTTCAAATTCCAATCACCAAAAATCAATAGTATGATAGAAAGAGAATCTAAATACAAAACAACCTAAAGTACAAAAACAGCTAGCTCCAGAAAAAATACTCTTCCACACTCCTGCAAATATAGGTTGATGTGAGTGGTCTGGGGGGGAGGGGAGGTACAGTGATATTATTCTGCAGAATAAGGATTGTATGAATGCATAATGTATCCTATGTTAACTGAATTCTTCGTTTCATCTCAAGTACCAGTGGGATACTAGGATTTCCAACATTCCAGCATGTCACGGACATGTGACACTTTACTGGAGGGCAGTATGACTACAAAATCATGAAAGAAATTACGGAGTATCTCCAAAAAGAATTTTAAAAGGAGGAAAACAATTACACTAATCTCCTTTTTGGTTTGTGGAGCAAAGGAGGTGTCATCACTAACACCAGCAATTATATAAAGGCGGACCCGCTGCTGCCCAAATATTACTTCAAGGTACTCATCTTTGTCAAGAAGTTCAGAGACGTCAAATCCTGTTTCCTCCAAAACCTGTAGTCATTATAGAAACAATAATCCAATAAATCAAAACCCACACAACCAAGAGTCAAACAAAAAAACAAAGGATAGCACATTTTCTTCACCCTCCACCCCACAAACAGAAAATCCTGCTATTGGTTCTATACTATTGGTAACAAATATTCATCACAAAGTCATTTTTTTTAGAAGTCACAGAACAAGATGTGAAGAACCCGAATTTACAAAATATTTCCTTGTTCATAATAGATAAGTAAAAGGTAGATGAAACCACAAGCTTGAGGCACACAGCTACTAAGTAACTGCTCTTAGCCAATTATTGGCAAGTGTAAGCAAATTACTGGACTGCCCTCAGCTAATAAATATATTTTCCAACTACAAGAAGAGAGTGCTTGGGATTAAAAGCAGGGACAAAGCATTTTCAGGACTGAGGAAGATCATTGCCACCACCCCCACTCCCCAAAGCTTAGCTAATGAATTGGGAATCATAAGTTATATAGAAAATCATGAATTGTTATCATTTTATTATTTCAGATTCCCCACCTTTCCAATCCACCCCCTAAAAATACTTATAAAGTGAGTTAATACCAAATTATCAATGAGCAATTCTAAGAAAGAAAGAGATAAATTACATAATGATATCTATTTTCTTTTTCAGAAAATGCAGATGAAAATTACACCAAAATGGGAAATTGGTTTTTGAGATCACTGATATGCATATATTGATAGTCCTCCTCTCTACCCCTGCTATACACAACTAAAGCTTGTAATCAGCTCATAATATTGCAGTGAGAAGCTCTAAGCCTCTAAGCTACACTAAAGTTCACTTGAATGGAGTTCTCTTCCTCAGACGTCCAAAACGTGATTGACAACAGAATACTATTAACATAAATGTGTTAAATCACCTCTTTTATCCTTGACCTCAAGAAAGATACCCAATCACTAACTCACTATCAGGGCTTTTCCTTTCTTTTCCCTTCATCCCCCCTCATTCCTTTCAACAGCTAGATCCAAGTGAGCTGAAATTAAAAAGGAAAACTTCAATTGGAAAACAACTTCCTTTCAATGCCAATTGATCATGATATAGCCTGTGAAAGTGGTGCCTAATGAAGACTTCCCAAAGTTAAAAGAATAGTAATTTAAACTTGTATGGATAAGGCCCTACTCTCTTCACCTTTTATAAAATTAATATTCAGTAAAATAAATTCAATTCAGTAAAAGTAGTTTCACTGCAGTAAAAATAAGTTCATTTCAGTTAGTAAAAAAAAATTCTATTCAATAAAAATCAGTAACTTTAAAGGGAAAAAAAACAAACTAATAGAGAATCTATAAAAATAATTTCAATTCACTAAAATTTATGTCAGCAAAAATAATTGAATATCAGTAAAAGTAATTTCAATTAAACAATAATAAAGTGAAGAGAACGGGACCTAAGATATTTTCTACGCACTAAACACTCCCGCTTCTAGAACAAAGGACACCTTAGAGAATGAAAAAACTTCTTGGAACGAGATTTTAGCTTCCAATGGCCATGAAGTCCATGAGGAACGTATCCGTGAATAAAAGACCATACAATGAGGAAGGGTTAAAAGAACACAGAGCTTGTATCAATTGCTTCACATGAGAAGTTTCCGGACGCTGCCTCATTCCATACTGAAGAGCGGTGGCTCTAGTTATGTTAATATGGTCTATAATATAGATAAATTACTTTTATTTTGCATTGTACCAAGTTCAGAATAAAATATAGATACAAGCAGCTAACTACCAGTTAAGGAGAGGAGAAAAACCTAAGAAAGGATGTTTGAGGACATAAAAGCATTATTGAGTCACAACAACAGAACTACATCCATGATACGATTATGTGAAGCCACCACATCAAGTAATAAACAATTGTGGTCACTAAACAACGGATATCAAAAGAATCACAAAGTAAGTGGTGCAAGTAATGTTTAATCAAAAGGCAGCATAGGAAAATATAAATAAACTGGTGTCATTATCAACATCGTAGTGGTGGACCTGGTGGTCACAGAGTTACAAAGACAGCACCTTAAGATTGTGACAATGTATTTGAGAAGTTGGAAGAGTCTAAAACCCCACTCTGTTCAATGTATTTTGACTTAATTCACACAAAAATGTTTTTAGATCAGTTCACATATATACGTTACTGATACAAATAAGTTCAGAAAAAATAAGTTCAAATAAGTTTAGACAAGCTGTTTTAGTTTTTTTTTTTTCCTCTTCCCTTGTCAAATTAAGTTCGAAGACGCTCACAAAATACTGTTACTGCCATAAGTTTAAATAATACAAGTTTGAGCAATATAAGTTCAAATAGCTTGAGATAAGTTCAAACAAAATAAGTTAGATAATATGGAGCCTTACTTAACATTCTAATTAAGTGTAATAAACAAAATTTACAAATACGACTTGAAAATACTTTTTAGCTCAATCGTGTTGTCTTGTCGTGAAATTAGAGATTAACATTTAGAGTCACTAAAATATGAGTCAAGTGTTTCATCAAATATCAGTTTCTAAATAATCAACATGCATAATGTCCTTAATAATAGATTCTAGAGACCCTGTGGTACACAACAGCCTATGATAAATGTCGCATAGTAAATCTTTCACACAAATCATAGAATTGTTTTCTAAATATCAGCAAGTTCTAATCCTTTCCAAAATGAAGATTACTTACAAAACCCGTCTCATAAATATGATGGACACTATATAATCAACAAACATACAACAACATAATTTTTTAGAATTATCCACATTAAAGGCACGATTGAAGAGAGAGAGAGAGATGCTAAGGAAAAAAAAAAAAATTGTACTTCTCTGATGGCACATGCATGATCTTCCTCATCCTTGTTCTTTTTACCACGTGGAAAACTCCAGCTAGTTCCTTTCCACCCTTTAACCAGCAAGCACTGCAAAAAATAAAATGTCTTTTAAACCAATAATATCTACGTAGCATATGAATACCATATTTGTAAAAGGGATAGAACTGAGTGCACGATAAATCTAATACGCAAAAGGCAATATCGATTAACAAAGTTTTGGTGTGGCTTAAATCAATCACCACACTATTTATTGATAATATTTTACCTAGTTTTTGGCATTACACAAAAAACATGATTAGTAACTTAGAGCTCAAAGATTCTAAATATAAATCAACTCAAAAAAAATGCAAAAAGAAAATCAATGAAAAAGAATATTCAGATCAAAATCCTAAACAGAAGTCTCCCGAAGGGATGGGGGTGACCGGTGAGCATAATAGCTAAAGAAGGTCTATACAAGAAACAGTTAGATAAGAATATGTAGGAAGATCAGGTTTGTTTCTATACATTATATCATTTATATGATCATGCAATGCTTCAGGTATATGGGGTGGAGCAACTACCTTTCTTTTCTTCCCCCTCAACATTCTAGTTAATTGACCTACCTATAAACCCCTTCCCATAAGCCTAAGGCATTACAGATGCTCCATATCTCAAAATAAGTATACGTATATAATAGCCAACAAAAACCACTTCAATAAAAAAAAATGTTAACACAATGAAGATATTACCACCATTTATCAGTTGTGTATAGAATCTTCATTTTATAATTTTAACTAATATAGAAGTTATAAGTTTTCAGTGTGTATAGAATCTTCATTTTATAATTTTAACTAGTGAATGCCATTATTCACTGCCGGTCTCAAGCCCGGAAAAAAGAGGAGAGTTGTGGTAGGTCTGTGGCGTCAACGTACACATCTTACGGACATGAATCGAAATTTGGATATTGTGGAGGCGTTCCCTAGTCAACAACGAGCTGCAGAGGGTCTAATGAAAAATATGCAAGAGTTGTTAGGTCATCACCCACAAGCGACACACCATCCCAGCTCCCAAGGGTGGTGTTAAGTATGCAAGGGGTTCCTACATGACAACAAATGTGTATAAAGAAGCTAGTCCATGGAGATAGTATGGGTAATAAGATGCGTTTTGGGACTTGGAAAGTCTATTGTTTGATCAGGAGATTGGTTGAATTAGTAGAGGTAATGAAGAGGAGGAGAATTAACATAATGTGCCTAAAAGAAAGTGGGTTGGACAAAGACAAAGGAAGTAGCTCCATGCGTTGTAAGCTTTGAATGGAGTAGGTATCCTCATTAATTGAAAATATGTTGATGATGTGATGGAAGCGTCTAGAAGAGTGATCGAATTGTGAGTGTTAAGCATATGATAGACTGATATGTGATGAGGTCGTAACTACAAGTGCTTATGCACCACTACTAAGATTGGATGCCTCTATAAGACAAAAATTATGGGAAGACTTCAAAGAAGTGGTGCAACAAGTTCCCAAATGTGTGGAATAGGTCATTTGGTGGTGATCTCAATGGACATGTGGGCAATAGGAGGGGTGGCTTTGATAGTATTCATGGAGGTTTTGGTTATGAAAACAGGAATGAAGTTAGAAATAAAAATCTTGGATTTTGCATTGACATATGACTTGAGTATCATGAACACTTGGTTTGTGAAAAGGATCTCTCACAGTCTCACCTAGTGACTTTTTTTTTTGTTTTTTTAGACACTGAGAATGTGGGACACCCCACTATCCAATTATTCTGGTTCTAACAGCAATGTTATGTGCTAGACCCACATTTGTTCTATCTAGCTTTAAGCATACTACATAGTCTCTCCTACCAGCTTCAGATCTAATATCCTGGACGAACAACTTGATATCCTCCTCTGCGCTTTCATATTATAAGTGGGGTACTGCATGTTAAACTAATTTCTTTGTAGTTAGGGATGCACCGAGGAAGAGTTACGTTGACAAGGTGATCCCTAGACTACTGGTGCTCAATTTTCGAGGTCGCGGACGTGTAAAAGACAGAGACCGCAAGTGGAGCCTACAATTAAGTGATGCAAACTTTGACGGTAAAACCAACTAAAATTTGTAGGAAAGATAGACGATGCAAGAATTTATTCCACTAGCACTAACTTGGATGTGGATTCAATGTGGAGTAAAATGGAGCATGGCATAAATGAAATGGCAAAAGAAATCTTGGGAGAATAAAATGGAAGCATGCCATCGAGTTAGGACACATCTTTGTGGAATGAAGAAGTGCTACAGCGATAAAGAACAAACAAGAATGATGTAAAATGTTTGGGATGAGTTGCGAGAGCAAAGGTCAAGTGTGTGAAGGATATCGACCAAAAAGTTCATGCTGGAGACAAGGAGATAAAAGATAGATGGAGACCTTACTTTGATAACCTATTCAATCGAGATCGAACCTAACATATTAGTGATACAAATACTTCTCATGATATGGTTTATCGGGAGTTTATGTGAAGGATTCAAAAGGGAGAAATCAAAATGACGTTAAAGAAGATGGGATTGAAGAAAGTAGATGGCCTAATGGCATTCTTATTAAGGTTTGAAAATGCATGAGAGAAAGAGGAATTGAATAGCGTTCCATGCTAATTTTATTTGTCCCACTTGGAATCTGGAGAGATTCTATTGCAAATGGAATTGGCTAGTTTCATCTTAATTAATAATTTTAACTTTTTTTTTTAAAATGTGTACATAGAGATACTATTATTACGAGTATAATATTGAATTGAAACTTATGCAAAAGAAAACCAGACAAATAAATAAAATTAAAAAACAATTCCTTTTAGTTTTTTATTTCCACATTTCACAAATGTCTATAATTCGGGTAACGAATGTCTATGATTCCACTAAACCTCAAAGCCTTACCAACACAATACGTCCAATAAAAGTGCTAGCACAAGGTAACAGCTGTTTTCAGCTTCCCATACGAGTATACGACAATGTAAAGACAAAATATCAAGAAGTAAAACAAAGAGAGTAGATGAAAATTCATGGACATTACCCTTTCGTATGCTTTGTCCAAAATGATTGCTCCAGTGACGGGAACCCGAACCTTGTAGGAAGTGAAGTCCTTGAATATATCATCAATATGAGGAACATAGGGTTTCAAGACCTCACAACTATTAAACACTAGAAGGATTGAAGGTAAAACAAGTGTTTAATCATAAAGTACAAAATTTGCAGTAAATGCCAAAACTAGACCATCAATTTAACCAACTTAGATCAAACACAAGTCATAACCCCAACCCAACCCCCCCCCCCCCCACACACACACACACAAACACACACACACACAATCTCAAATGTAAATTTTACAATCGTTCTTCACACGTAAGGAAGCAAGTTCAAGATATGCATTCATGCGCAACTTTGAAAAAGAAAAACAAGAAAAGGGATATTCGCCCAATGAAAATGAAATATGAATGATTAAAGGATACTTAAAGACGTAAATTCTTTGAGAGTAAATGATTTCAACGATGGATTCTTCTCCACTGTATTATCTTCATAAAACCAATGTGCATACTCGACCAGAAATAGGATTCTCTCAAAAGATTGTTGGTCTTCCTTAGGAACATTCAAGACAAAGCGGCTGCACAATTTCAAAACAATATAACAGGAGAAATAAGGCGTTAGAGCAGCACAAATATTGGAATTATTTTCTAAAGTCATCTGATCATGGTCAAACAGAAGCATAATTTGTGCATAATAGGAATCCCCCAAATTAAGCATGAAATACTATGACACCCAAGGAGAATTTTTTGTTATGTCCGGAACTGTTACTCGTATTCATACTGTAATTTGAACTAGTAACGTGACAATTTATCTAGATAGAGTGAGCTTAAGATATATAACTAAACCGTGGCGCCTATACATCAATTTAGATCTTCTACTTGTAACACATAGGTAATTAGGAATTACAAAGTAGCAAAATTAAGTAGATCAACATCAACATTTCTCATCATCTTACAGGGTTTAAGATGACTTACCCAAATCAAACTCAAACACAATACAAACCAAAAAAAAATTGAAGAATAAAATAAAATTGAAGGACAAAAAAATGACGAATTATTGTTATACAAAGTGTCGAGAAAGCTGTAGAGGCTCGAATTTAAACATCATAAGCAGAAAATTAACTTAAATTAACAAATTAGCTGAAATTGAGAGCAAAAAATTAAAAATTAAATTGACAATGCAAGTTGAGTTGAGTAGAATAGAGAGAATTAAAGGTGGTAAAAATGGCGGAAAAAGAGGAGAGAGAAGATGGAAACCTGCAGAGATCATCGAGGAGTTCTTGAGGAGGAAGGCCGTTCTTCAATGGAGCGCTAGAAGATCTGTGAAGCCCTGACATCACTCCGGCGCTCCGAGACTGTCTGTGTGTGTCGCTGATTAATTGATCCCCGAGGAAGGAGGAACAAGGGGCTCGATGCTTATTTATGGGATGTTATTGGGTAATTTTAAATGGAATCGGATTTTTTTTATTTTTTTTAAGTTGGATCGGGTTTAATTGAGAGTCCTTTTCTTAAATAATGTTGGGAAATTATCTAATTTTCAAATTACATTTAATCGTTTTTTAATTTCCACCATACCGTCCACGTCATCGGCTCAGTGGGCATTTTTTTTAAAATGAGTTCATTAGAAAACCGCTACTTCAAGTATTGGTGTGCTACTAAAAACTAGGGGTGTCCGTTCGGTTTTCGGTTTGGATTTAGTCCAAATCCGATCCAATCCGAAATATAATTCGGTTTTCAATTTTTCAATCCGATCCGATCCGAATTTCTCTCTTGATCCAATCCGATCCAATCCGAATTAAAATTCGGTTATTTGGATCCGATCCGAAAATCCGAATTATAATACATTATTTTTTAGCTCCTAATACAATTATAAAAATAAAGCTTTAATACAACTAAAAGTCTTTAAAATAATGAGTAAAATAAATAGCTCAACGTCAAGTCATTAATTAATTAATACAAAGTCTCCCTAATTTATTTTTTGTAGTAGTAAGTATTTGACCTAAACTTCAAAAATTAAAGAAATCCATATTTATACAATTTAATTTTACAATTCGGTTTTCGGTTTGGATTGGATCCAATTAGGGTAAATTCGATCCAATCCGAAAATCCGAATTTCCAAAAAATCTCAATCCGATCCAATCCGATTTAAAGTTCGGATCCGATCCGAATTGATAATTCGGTTTGGAATGGATTGGATTTCGGTTTTTATCCGAATTATGGGCACCCCTACTAAAAACCACTACTTCAAGTAGCGGTGTACTACTAAAAACCGCTACTTGAAGTAGCGGTGTGTTACTAAAAACCGCCACTTCAAGTAGCGGTTTACTAATTTATTAAGTATTTTTTTAACAAAATCACTTTCTCCTTTTCCCTTGTAAAATAATTCAACAAAATCATAACCGCTACTTCAAGTAGCGGTGTTTTGAGGAAAACCGCCACTTCAAGTAGCGGTGTTTTGAGGAAAACCGCCACTTCAAGTAGCGGTGTTTTGAGGAAAACCGCCACTTCAAGTAGCGGTGTTGCTGGATCGAAAAAAAAAAAAAAAACGGTTTGTTTTCCTTAGCTGAAGTGGACGGTACGGTGGGAATTAAAAAAAAAATCGGTTGTATTTTGGAAATTGTGTTTTCCCAACATTATTTAGGGAAAAGGGCTCTTTAATTGAAGTATTTTGTGAAGCGTTTAGATCCAATAAACCAACGAGACCTACAATTTTTGATAATTACTACTATGTAGTTTGTATAATAAAGCTCCTTACACCTCTTAGTAACTACAAAGTATATGTGTACGTAAATGAATAGGGAATTTAAATCATTCTTAGACAAGTTTGTGGATGTTTTCATTGACGACATTTTGGTGTATTTGAAGACCAAGGAAGATCATGCAAATAACTTGAGATTTGTCCCAGCAACTCTAAGGGGGAATCAACTTTATGCAAAGTTTTCAAGTTGTGAATTTTGGTGGGAAAAAGGTAGCATTCTTAGGTCACTTTGTGTCTAAGGAAGGAGTGGAAGTCGATCCAACTAAGATTGAAGTTGTGAAGGATTAGCCAACGCCAAGACAGTGTCAAACATTAGAAGTTTCTTGGGCTTAGCATTGTAATCCCCCGTATTTTTAAGTATGTTATAAATGAAATTTAATTTTATTTATAATATTGTTTTGTATTTTTTCGTAATTTAATTTCAAAATATTCAAATTATTAATTTGGGTCAAAAATTATTTTGGTACAAATTATTTTATGAACCTTCATTCTATAATTTATTTTAATACAACTAAAGCTTAGTCCATTTCATTCATTTGGCCCATTAATTTTATGAGACTCAATCTTTCTATTTACCCTACAACGTTCTCTCCTATAAATGCCCTATGAATCCCCAAAAATTTCACTCACAAAAAGGTTAGTCTTGTTTTCTTTCTTCTTTGTTTTATTAATTTGTGTAATTATAATTATTGATTTATGGGTTTTGATTTTATTGTTTGAAATTAATTAAATTAGTATCAAATTGTATTTTGATGAATTTTCAGATTTTATAAATGTCATAATTTTCAGATTTTGTAAATTTTATAAGCTAGGGTTTTTAATTATTGAAAATCATGATTTTAGGGTTTTTATGAACAATTGATTTAGGGCTTTTATAGTAATGATGTTTTGAAATTTTGGTGATTATAACTAATGATTAGTTTAACTTAATTTCATATTATTTTGAACACTTAAATTCGGGTTTTAATTTTTAGATTTCCGTTCGTTAATATTAATCCCGTTTTAATCCCAATCAGCATCTGAACTCATCCGATTTTGGTGAAAAATTAGTGTTTTTCATGTGGAAACAACGTTTTAAGAAAGACTCACCACCTTTAGTGGTGAGCATCACCCTCTCGTGGCCAAATTCATCCTTTAAATATGATTTTTGGGCTGTTTTTGATTTTAACGAAGTTTTTTTATACTTAAAATATTATCCTTGAGTTTGATTAATAAAATTAATTATGTTTAAAGTTAATTAAGCATAAATATATGTTTTATTGAAGTTTTAAGTGCTCGAAATAGTTTCTAAGTATTACTTTTGATGTTTTATAAAGAGGGTTTAATCACCCATTAAAAAGGGAGATTATTAGGGGTTTTTAAATAATTTTAAGATTTTTGTTAAACTTTAAACTTGCTGTAATTTCATGTATAAGAGTGTATTTTAAGGTTTTTATGAAGAAAATTTAAAGAACTATATATAAACCTTGAATTTTAACTAAAGGGAAGGTTTTAAAGTGTTGTTTGATTTGGATTTTTGAAGGTTTTAAAAGTAAGTTAGTATTGCTGTAAATTTAATTGATTGGGTATTGATTGAGATGTTATTATTTGGTTTAGTAGAGGAGTTTATTGAAGGTGATTTATAGTTAGTAAAGTGGCATACCAATTCGTTTGCTCAAGGAACGTACAAGTTACGAAACCTTAGCTTGCTTGTAGGTGCATGTTTAAGGACGGATTGAGAACTTAGTATCATGTATAAGATTGACTGGGTTAAATTGTTTGGTTATACATTGTGAATTTCAAATGATGTGCACTAGTTTATAATGCAAGTATTATTTGTGCTCTAATTATGCAAGGTGCCCTTAAAGGCAAAGGTATGTGATTGGTGTAAAGATTAAATTATTACTCATTCATGATTATGCAAACAGGATGAGTAAAGGAGGAATTCAAGTCTTATAAGACGAGGTTAAGGTTTTGGGGTGCCTTATGCACTCAAGGTGTTTATACACCGAGGTAGTAAAGGAATAATTAATAAATGTTGTTTGTCACTAATAAATCAAGAATTTAAATAGGGAATTTGCCATGTTTGGTTGAATTGTGTTTGGAATGTTTGTATTGTAATGTATATGAGTCATCACCAAACCTAAACCTGTAAATCACGTTAAGGTGTAAGATGGATGAGCAATAAAACTCTGGATTGGTGCACATCTAGAGTAATGACAATCAGGGGTTGGGGTACATGGGGTATTAGCCGTGTACTTTTATCGAGACCGTCTGATTTACGAGTCTCCTATTTCAAATATTATTTTTTAAAACAAGGAGTTAGGTGAGATCTCATACTAACTACGGTCACGGAGTCGCGCCCGTGATCGTTGGATGTTTATTGATGTTTCCGAAAGGAGACATGGGGTTTTTCTTTTATTGATGTTCCAAATGGGATATGGGTTGGACAACCTTGTCTATTGCTAAATCCAATGAAATAAATAAATGAGTTAGTTAATATTAACTAGTGAAGTCTTAATAAATTTGATGGTTGAGTCATGTGCTAAGTCTATAATTTAATGATGCTTATACTTGATTATTAGTAGCATGTTAGGTATTTCTTAATTTATTTCGCAGCTTGTATGTACTCAGCTTTGCTGATTGCGTGCTTTATATGTCTTTATTTGGTCATGGCCTTCGCCTTTCAATGACCCTGTGACGATCCAATTTTTACACTTGTAATATTGGGGAGCAGATTAACCACAGGTTCTTACATACGCAACATTCGCATCAGGGTTGTGGGATTTTGAGTGGAGTGTTGGTTACTTTTCACTACTTATTTTGCTACTTACTTTTTAATTCATTAAACTCAATTTCATTTTATACTATTTTAACTAATTTGGGTTTTGAATAAGGGCCTTAATGGTTCCAACTTGTAAGATTTAGTTTGGTTTTGGTTATTGGTTTTGAAACTTATTTATAACTGAGTTAGTTTTTCCGCTGCTAATTTCTGATATAGCCTTAACGTTTGAACACGTGGCAGTAGCACGCCGGTAATTCTTTTGGATTTTGTTCAGGGTATTTACAGGTTTTAAGAGAGAATTATTGGGGTGTTACAAGCATGATACTACGTATTATAGGAGGTTTGTTAAGGATTTTCCGAAGGTAGCTAATCCCACGACACCCCTAATGAAGAAGGATTGTAAGTTCGTTTTGAGTGATAAGTAAAAGGAAGCATTCCAATGTTGAAGGAGCGTTTAACGATGACGCTTATGTAATTGTGTTGACTTTGCCTAACGACAGTGATTCTTACAATGTATATAGTGACAATGGATTGGGGTGTATGTGTATTGATGCAAAATGAAAGGTGATTGCATATGCATCTCAACAAATGAAGCCATATGAAATAAATTACCCTACACATGACTTAGAATTGGTTTCTATTTTGTTTGCTTTGAAGATTTGGAGACATTACCTTTTATGATGTAAAATGCAGGATTTTTACAAATTATAAGAGTCTAAGTACATTTTTACATAAAGAGATTTAAATATGCATCAACATAGGTGGTTGAAATAACTTAAAGACTATGATTTGGACATCCAATATCATGAAGGAAAGGGAAATGCAGTTGCATGCGGATGCCCTAAGTCGAAAGTCTAATCATGGGGTGAATGTGGCATTAGTAGTGATCAATGAATAATTGTACATAGAATTGGGGAAGTTGAATCTAGAAATCATCAAATGTGGTGGAGTGCAATAGATATTGTATAACCTGAGTATTCAACTTACAATATTCGATGAAATTGGCGAGTATCTAAAAGGAGATGTCAAGTTGGATAGGATTCATGAGAAAATAAGCCAAGGAAAGGCAAAAGACTTTAAGATTCATGATGTGTAAGCCTGAGGTACAAAGGTAGATGG